CTGACTGTGGAATTACTGTAGTACTAAAAGTTTGTAATACGAAAAATAATAAACTGGTTTCATCAAGAAAGGACTTGTATCGCAGAAGTTCCTCAGAAAGAATTTCTACCGGAAATTAACAAACAAGCAGATACGTAACAATATTGTTATAAAAGGAAACACTGTATAGTATTGTAAAGTTCGGACGACCTATCGAAGAGATATTTAAAATACCATTTCGATGAACAATCCGAGTCATACCTACATAGGGAGTGCTTAAACACCGTAAGTTGATGTTGCCTCGAAACTAATAAGCCTAACTTTTGTGGTAAACCTCAGCTAATTTATCCGTTTCACATTTCAGTTCAAGGGTTTGTAAAATGGAATTTCATATATATCTCTTGTGTTCAGCATGTCGATGCCCAAGAGGCCTTTTGTTCAATGTCATAACACATCAGTTGGACTTGATGATGAGAAACAACATTTTCTTTGCATGTAGAAAGTGATATCCTTGTAAAAATGAATGCACAAAGATCGTAGACTTGCACTAGTCCTCTACCTTAGACAAAGATTACATGTGACAGCGCTTGTTCCATAGGGCTTATATTTGATTAGCTATGTCATGTCTCCTGGAAGGAAATCACACTCATTCAAAGAGGTGACTTAGAAACTTGTACAAGCACAGGTGTAGGGGCTTGATTTTGACCAGGGGGAGGGGGCAAGCAGGTTTCGCCTGAAAATATAAAATCGACCTTAAAATCATGTACTATAAGGTTTAAAGACACTTGAAAAAAAAATGGTTCTAATTAGTTCCGCCTCCCAGTGGCACAGCGGTATGTCTGCGAACTTAAAACACTAGAATCCAGGTTTCGATACCCGTGGTGGGCAGAGCACAGATAGCCCATTGTGTAGCTTTGTGCTTAATTACAAACAAATCTAATTACTTCCATGCGGAACCACACGGCGCTAAAGGGCTAGAAAGGTGCAAGTGAAAATGTTACGCGTGGGTAATATATTTTCTGAAAAGGCATAATCAGTTTGCAAATATAAAAGTTATAGATATGTACAGAGCTTTTGTCCGAATATTTTGAGCGATTTTTGCCCGAAAAACTATTGGGGCCAGAATTTGGGGGCAATTGCCTCCTTGACCTCCTACGCCTATGTGTACACGTTAGCATAAGTTATATGCTTATCTCCAATTATTATGTTTATTGGGAGTAATTTTTAACATAGGCTATCTAAGGAATGTTGGATACTACAATAAGACTCTGGTCTGACGTAAAAGTGTGGTATATACGTGGTTATGTTTCTTATTCTTGTCCTGATTTTGTTCTTGTCTGGACATATTTTGGAAATCTCCTTGCACCAGTAGCTAAAAGCTATTCAATTAATTGGAAGCCAACTAGTCAAGTAAAACGAAATCACCTCTGTAAGATTAAGAACTTTGTTTGTTTGTAAACTTGTGTGGTTGTAGTTCCTTCTTTCTCTATGTTCATTTTAACTCTTTGTATATCAATATCATTTCCGGTTTTGTTGCACTTGGTTCTTTTTTGCTAGATATCAGTATACCTGAATATCACAGACACTGTAACATAAGCGGATTTTGTACAAGGTACCCAGTTATTCTTGTTTCTTTTAGGAAACATATCCTAATACAGTTAGAGGAACTGCTGTATTGGTTTCGTCAAATCCTATTTTTTTGTAAAATTATAATTTAAGACTTAAACTGGAAATTTATTAATTCTATCTTTTGCTCACATAAATTACAAAAGTGAGACTGTAGATATCATCTTGAATATTTATTAAAAATCCACGATATCTTAATCAAAATATTTTTGTACTTTAAAAGGCAAAATATCTCACAACTTTGAAATATTCAACTTCTTAATTTTCATATTACTTGTTTTTGAAGGCCATAAAATGTAATCGGCTCTAAAACTCTTCATCAAAAGCATTCACAAACATTTTTTATTCATTGAAAGTGAAACTTCTGCCAAGGAAATTCTGTGTTTTTGATTTAAAGACTTGTGACTCGTTTGGTAAAAGCGTAAAAATGCTTTAAATTACAAGCGATAACTAAAAGAAAATGGAAAAGTCGTTTAAACTGTTTTTTTTGTGTGTAGTTTTTAAGTTATAATCTTCACAATAACCTATAATTTTATAACGATCTGTAAATAAGCCTACTAAATCTAGTTTGAGAAAGGAAACATCCGGGCAAGCAATCACGTGATAAAGCTTCGGTTATTAGTAAAATGGCGACGAACAATTACTATACTTTTACTACAGGTGGAGTTCAGTTTGGGTAAGCGTTTGAATAAATTTATTGTGATTTATAAAATCTATAAAAATTCAAGTTGAGTTATTTGTCTGTAGGTTTTTGTAATTTCTTTCTCTAACCGTACTAATAGTAGTAGTACTTAATTTAGGTACTAGGTGTAGTAGTACTACTACTAGTATTAGTAATCTTGCTAAATTATATACTACTGCTACTAGTACTAGGCCTGTCAGTATCACTGTCACTTAGTGTCTATAATTATCATCACATTTACGAGTCGCAGCAAATAACTACGATCCGATCCGTATAACTAGTAAGTTGTAGTACTGTAAATGTAACATTAACTAAGAATCCAAACGTAGGCCACACTGATACAATTAAAAGTCACTGTGAAGTGTAATAATATCACGTTAATGTGCTACTACTACAAATGAGTACAAGTACTAATACTAAGAGTAACTAGCACTAGTACTCAGTAGTACTACTAGTGTTTACTAACACGGCACAAGTACCAGTAGTAACTAAAAAAGGATTTTTGTTTAACTAATATATTTTACATTTAATTACTATCAAATAACATAGTTGCTGAGTCTGAGTAATAGATGCTACTTTTAAACTTTGCAAGAAATAAAGAAAGTGAAAAGTGGAGATGACAGAAAGCATTTTTGGCCAAGGTTACCTCTTTAAAAAATGAATAGGCTAAAAATATATGAATAGCAGTTTGGTCTTTTAACTGTACAGTGTTTAACATACATGTTGCTGTGTGAACAAACACAGTGTATCACAGGAAAAACAACAGTTTGTGAACTAAATGTACCTTGCCTGTCAGAATTAGCTCACAGTCACAGTTCAAAGAGGAGAATTGTATAGCTCAGTTTCTACCTACAGTTCAGTCTGTATTTGTTCTGAGATAGTAATAAAGTACTGTCAATAAAACCATCACAAGGCCCTTCCAATTCCTGAACCTCACCCATGAGTAAATGGACATCTATGGATTTGTTTAAATGAAATGGCAAAACTGTAGTGCTAATTAGTGTACTTCAAGTGATAATTACTTAGATGAAACCCATTGCTGTTATATTAATAAAACAAGAGTTAAAAATAGAAAAAATGCATGTGTTTTTGGACATATCGCTACTCTGACATGAAAATTTTAGATTGATATTGGTTTTAAACAATAGTTGTTTGATGCTGTAATTCGTAATCTGCACTGCTTTTACGTTTATTGTTTACTAATGAATAACCTGTCAAAAGTGATGGGACAATTACTACCACCTTCCACCCCATAGTATATCGTAATCTCACATTTCATAGCTAACTGAAATAAATAAATTTTGCAAGATCAAGCTTAAGCAACAAAGAGGCAGAGAAGTGCAGTTGAGGCAGTCAAATGTCAGTAAATTCCTTTGTGAGCCAATCAAAATTAAGATCATTCATGAAATAAATTCATAGAATAATTGTTAGTAGATATCAATTAGATTAATAACTTCTAAAATATAGAAAAGCTAGTGCATTTTGGTAACATTACTTTCCAACAATGGCTTTTATGTTATGTTGCTTAGCAACAAAAGAATAATCTTTATTTTTGTTAGTCTGTGTACTGAAAGTATAAAATAAAATGTATAGACATTAAAACTGGAAAAATATTTGTTGATTTCTTAATTTAGAGTTTCTGTTGATTAAAGAGGTTTGTTTTTATTAAAAATATTGATGATATAACAGGAAATAGCTTAATTCAGAAACAATTTAAGTAAAATTGAATCAGTATTTTTACTTTCATGATAAAATTTATGCACTTGGCTCTAGGCTAGGTGATCCCAACACTACTTCTTTACATTAGGCTTATTATACCAACATTCACAACACTTATAAGGTTTCATGCACCCCTATCACTAAAAGTGTAATGTGCAGACAGTAATCAAACTATTCTATCTGGATAAATGCATTTTGGCTTTTATGACTCCACCTGAAGTGTTACGTGATGGACACTGGCTTTTATATAGGTTAGATAATACATTGTTGCATGATGCAATAAGATATAGACTTGCAGTTTCTTGTACCGTAGTATAATTGAGATTAATATGTTTAATATGTATAGTTTCTGGTAGTTTTTATTTTAAATATAAGTGTAACATCCTTTTCTAACTTCTAAGTATATTATTATCTCCAGTAGCTGTTGGAATGTGTATAAAATGTGGGATGATGCTTTGCATTTCTTCCTTAGTCCTGGTACATCTTATGCATCTGAAATGTTTAAATTTATTGAAAATGATATCAGTTGCATCATTTGCTTTAGAGATACTAATGTGAATGTCAAAATAATACTACATATATTTCATGCAACTTGTTTTATTCATTCAATTGTTACAGTTGTTTAAAATTACTTGCTCTTTACAGTACCAGTTTCGTAGTTTTCATTACTTGTCATCTCTTCTTTTTTTTCACTTCACTTTTTTTGACACTGTACACTGATGTTTAGGTTTGATCTTGTGTTGAAATACCTTGATCTGATTGGAAGTTAATATTGATGTATCATTATTAGATAGAAAAACTAGGAACCAGCAACATTATCTGCCCACTTCCAGAGAATGTTCGATAGGAGAAATATGGCATGATGATAAGTTAATCAAAGTTAACAGAACAAAATACGAGGTTTGCAAAATACAGTTGTTGATACCACAACATAAGGTGGTTTAAGTTGCACATATGTATAAATATGCAAATGACAGATATCAATAAAGTACATGACAGAATATTACAAGAGTACTAACATTTTTCACATGTCATGTTCAGTGACAAGTCAAGATGTAGAATATTAAACCAAGTATTCTAAGTATTGCTATTTCAAGAAATCTCCAAAGAAGCTTACATATCAAGACATTTTTGATGCTCTTTATAAGGATAGGAAGTCATCAAAGAACATATGTGAACTAAAAATAAAAAATGTGTATATTCTTCAGTTTTTGATGAAACAAGAAATGGCATGTTTCTTCTTAATTCCGTTTGTGTGATTACTTTGTTGGGTTTGTTATTTCTAGTTCAATATTATAGTAATAATAATTACATAAATATTGTGAAGTCCCTGTGGCAAATAACCTGGGCAACTTATGTTTTATGTGAGGTTTGTGCAGTCTTTGTTTTGCCAGTTGTAATGTTTTACATACTATGTTTGTATACATTCAATGGTATATTGAACATGCATACTTATCGTAAATGCTGTTTACAACTCATTGAACGTACACTTATTCATATATTAGATTTGATATAGTTTGTAGCATATTTTAAGTTTACATTTCTTTTTATACTTCTTTTTCAATCCTAACAGTAATATAGTTTCAGATATTGTTCCATAACTTTGAGTTTTCATTTGTAGTTATTTTGATTCTCTTATGTACAAGTATGTGCGAATAGTCTCAAGAAATGTAATTGGGTCATTATTTTAGTAAGTCAGGTGATGTTATGTTTTATCTGTCGAAACCGAGAATTTGTTGTGAGAGCTTGATGTTTTGGAATAAAGATCTTGTTTCCGTCAGTAGTGAGATTTTCTAACCTATTAGTAGAGTTAGAAAGCCACATATATTATAGTAATTTTGAGGCTTTTCCTATAGTGTGAAATATTTTTTGTATTGGAAATGCATATTTGAAAACTGCATGAATTATATTTGGACAACCCACATGGTGAGAAAAAAAAAGGCTTACTAAACATTTCACCCAAGTGCAAAAGTAAAAGCCTTGGTTTTTATGTATATTTTTTACTTATTGTTACATATTTTTCAACAAAAGTAACTAAAATTTGAAATCAGAAATTTATAGTTTAGATAAGATAACTTAAATGAAAAAAATTAAATAACATTTTCCTTTCACAAACTCACATGGACTTCCATCTCTTGACATAACCATAGTTTGTATACTCTGAGCTCTTGCTATGTAATTTAATGCTTTGTTAGTGTTACCTTAAACACAGTTCAAAGAGTGCTAAAAGAATAAAATTCAAATAGATGAGAAACTGATATGAGCCAGAGGCTGTTTAAGGTAAATAATTTGCTACAGTTAATTTTCTTTAAAGTCTATTAAAGGCAATAATAAAAAAAAAAAGTAAAAAAAATTTCAAAACCTTAACTTGGATCCATGGGTACTACAGGTCCTTGAATCAGGATTAGTCATTCAGTTCACGTCTTCACCACCATTATCCATCTGACCTGTAGTGTTTCCACCTCCCACAGATACACAGATTTCGGAACTTTGTTTTAGGGCTATCAGAGTTTTGTTGGTCTTGGGGGCAGTGAAGAGAGTTGTAACAGTTCTTTCAGGGCTTCCTATCTTTTGTGCCCAAGAAAACAGAAGATTGGTGTCTGGTCATTGAACTTTTTCTTCTATATCAATTCCTAGATCTTCCAAGGTTCACAATGGAGTCATTCTTCATTTTGCATTGGCTTTTTTTACCAGGATGGTGGATGTCCAAGTTCGATGTCACCGACTCCTATCAGCACATTTCTATAGTGGTGGCATTGCTCCACTATCTGTGTTTTGTGCGCAAGGGTCAGGTGCTGCAGTTCAGGGCTCTGCCATTCAGACTAGCATCGGCACCATGTGTGTTCTGTTGAGTTGTACAAGTTTTTCTCATTACCTCCATTCCCTAGGCCTGTTCACACATCATTTTATTGATGACTGGGTACTGCTTGCACAGTCTCATCAGTTGGCAGAACATCACACCCAGATTTTACTTTCAGAAGCATCCACGGTAGGTTTCATTATTCTCACTCCAATGAAATATATCATCCATCTGGGTATCTTTTTTTAACATGTATCTCAGTCAGACTCCCAATCGGTTCCATGCCAAGGAACATGCAGTTCAACTCTTACCTCTCCTCCCACTGTGTGTATGTTTCTTTCTCTTTGGGGGATTTGGATATCACTTGAATCCCTCATTCCTTTGGGACAAGCACACATGAGATCCCTTCAGTGGTTTTTATGTGGCCAGTGGATCATGAACAGCGATTCACTGGATTCTCTAATTTCCTTATTCATGTTCATCATTTTCACTTTCAAGGGTGGTTAGATCAGAATAATTCTAAGATAGGTATTTCTCTGCTGCCACCTCGTCCAGAGATCCATTTCTTCACAGATGCCTCGCTTCAGGGATTGGGTGCATATCTTAATGGTCAGGAATTCCAGGGCCTATGGATGGACAATGAGGCTTCCCTACACAGTGTTTTAGAACTTCTTGCTGTTCAAAGGGCGATGTTTCACAATCTGGACTTATTAAGGGGAAAATGTGTCAGGTTTTACTTTGACAATTCCATGATGTTGCCTTCCATTTTCCATCAAAGGGGTCTTGGTCCAGGTCTCTGTTTTCAAACTTTGGCTCTTTTTTAGGCCCACTCCTATCACATCACCCTACTGTTTTCCATGTTTCATGGGGGATGAATTTGATGGCATTTTCAATTTAAGAGAATGTTAACTTTTATTCTGAAAGCTGAAAATTTTCAAGTTTAGGCAAAAACATGGTTGGTTTAGTTTTGGCAATAATATGGTTATTTACTAACTTAGCGAATATAATGATTGACTATTTATTGTTCGTGGATGATGAGCAAGAAAGGATAATCCTTTTACTGAGGAGAAACAGTGGATTTTTCACAGGATACAGTGTACCTGAAAATATTCGTATTTTGTGCCCAAAACATGTTAGAATCACTTTTAAGCACCTAATTTTAAAATTTTTTCAGGGGAGCTCACTGTGTATTTATTTGAAATATAGGAAGGTTAAAAGCCTGCTGATTTTATTTTATAATTTGTTTTGAAGTATAAGTCTCTTCAAACTGCAGTTTCTTATATATGCATGTTTTAGATCAGAGTATGTTTAAAATTCAGTGTTTTGTCTGTAAAATTGAGAAATGTATTTGATTAACAACTTTATGTAACATATTTTGTTGCAAAATGACAGAAATTACTGAACCTTCAGTCCTTTGTGTTTGATGGGCACAATCACTCTGACATTCGAAAGGGAAAGAGCATGTGAAATGAGTTTTGCAAGGGCTTGTTAGAGCCATCATCAAGTCTGTTATGTCATCTGCTGTTTTGGATCTACTACAGGTTTTATTTTTACCAAGAAGTAAATGCAAATCCTATTATTTTTAATGACAGTGGCCACACCATCAACTGTTCTTTGTAAACACAGACTAGCTCACACATAACTAGGGATGCACGAGTACTCGGCCAGATATTTGGCCCCGGCTGTGTATTGGGCTACCCAGTAATACTTGGCTCTGGTCGAGTGGTGAAGTTAGGCATTTAAGCTCTAATCTTTGTGGCAACTAACATGGTACTGAAAGATGCAGTCAATAATTGGTTTACTAAAAAATTACCTGTTCCAAGAAACAAAAAGTGACCACCCGCTGAAAGTCAGGAATTCAGAAGACAATAGGGGTTAATAACAGGCATGGCTTGAGAAGTGGATTTCTGGGGAAGATGGGGTTTTTGAGAACAATAGGGGTTAGGGTTTGAGAAGTTGGGGCTAGGCATTGAAAGTTGAAAATAAAACTTGAATGTTCTGTTGGTGATTATTTGGTTAAATGTAATGAACATCAATTTTGTTTTTGTTTCTAATTTTTGTGTATGTCCTTTGGGGGGTGGGCAGGGGGAGAACCCGATTCTGGTTGATACCTGGCCCCAGGCTAAGCATAGTGACCGGGTACCCGGACCCGATACTCAGCCAAAGTTTACTACCTTTGCATCCCTACAGATAACATTATGTGTTCCTAATAATGGTTGGAGACAGCTTGAATGAGTAATAAAGAAAATCAACCAAAACAACTCATTGTTGAATCAAGAAAGAAGTCTATACACAATAAGAAACTAGATTAACTAAGGAAACTACAATAACGTGAAGTGAAACACAGCAATGCAGCTCAGCCTAACTTTGTAATCAACAGATCTGACTGGACACTCAATGACACAGAACTTCAACTTCTAAACAAAGGCCTCAACTTTGCCATCAACCACAAAACAACTCCATGCCTAGAGTTCAAGGCGTGTCTAGAAGATCTAGCCAGAAGACTCGTGACCCGCTACATAAAAGAACAAAGGACCACCTCTACCTCAAACATCAACCAACAGACTTTTATCACAGGCAACTACAACAAAATGTGGTTTCCCGAAGTTCCCAAAAACTGTATTTTAAATAACTTTTTTAAAGAATTCTCAAACAAGACTATTAATATAGTCAACCAATCCCATAAACTGAAAAGTAACCTCACAAGTAATGAGATCAAATCCATTTATAATCTTAAAAAGGACACTAACATTAAAATTCTAAAAGCTGATAAAGGCAACACCACTCTTATCATGAACAATTCAGAATACATCGACAAAATGAACGACATCCTTTCCGATGAAAAGAAATTCAAAGACATCCCAAACAACCCAACAAACAAACACGAAAAACAACTAAACAGAACTTTATTACAAATGAAAAAAGATAATTTAATTACTGACGATCTTTATTTTTATCTACGTAAAACTGATTCACGCACACCACAACTCTATGGCATTCCTAAACCACACAAACAGGACTGCCCCCTTCGACCTATACTGTCCACTTATGATTCATTCAACTACAATCTTGGCAAATACATAGCCTGGGCTCTCACACCATATGCAACTTCTGCAGGTTCATTTTTTAAAGATGCCTTCAATTTCAAATATACACTAGAACAACTAAATTCGAAAGCCTTAGTGGCTAGTTTTGATGTCGTGTCACTCTTCACTGAAGTCCCCACCAATGAAGCTTGCAATATTGCACTCGACCTCTACATTAGTATCCCCAACAAGTTAATGCACATCCCCAGCACACTTTTTGCTTCTCTCTTAGAATTTACAACGATTAAAACCGACTTTATTTTCAACAACGAACATTTCATCCAAATAGATGGTTTAAGTATGGGCAATCCTGTTTCACCCGTTCTTGCCAATATATTCATGACCAAAATTGAAACACAAGCCATACATTCTGCGCTTCATCCCCCACTATACTGGTACAGATATGTTGATGACACTTTTGCTGGTTTCACTTCTACAGAACACACACTAACTTTCTTTAAACACATAAATTCCATTCATCCCTACATCAAATTTACCACGGAACACGAAAACAATAAACAGTTATCTTTTCTTAACCTCAAAATTATTAGATCGGACACACAGTTTAAAACCAAAATTCACCGCAAGAACACACACACTGGTCTCTACATCCCCTGGAATTCCGCTTATGACACCACACAAAAAATAAATACACTTAAAAACCTCATAAACACAGCCACATGGCTCTGTTCAACATGCTACATAAATAAAGAAATTAACCACACAAAGCATTCCTTTATTCACTCCAATAGATTCCCACCAGCTATTGTGGAAAAACTCTCCAACATTCCCCACAACAAAATTGATACTAACAAACCCAACAACAGTACATTACACTGCAGTTTACCTTTTGTTCCTGAAACCAGCTCAAGAATTATCCACACTTGGACAGAACCAGCCATTAAACACAATATTACTGTCAATGTCAAATGCTCTCAAAAACCCAGCCCTAAAGTAAAATCGTTACTAAACAAAATTTATTTAGAATCACGCAATACCAACATCATTTACAAAATAACATGCAATAACTGTCCAGAATTCTACATTGGAGAAACAGGAA